AAAGGGGTTAAATGAACAAAGCATACATTTCAGACCACCACACGGCGTACTAATCCATCACTGTGTGAAATGACAGAAATGGGTGATTAGAAAGCCATGGCCTAGCCAGCTATGCAGAACATCTACACGATAACCGCCATGACATCTGACAGTGAGGGATGAAACATTTGACGAGTGCCCGTGAGCAAGCACATGCACTGTGACCAGCTGCAGAGATACGTTCATCCAAACGTGACCACCAAAGACAGGTGACAGGGGAGTGATGGAGAAGGTACGCCAGAAAGAGCGGGAAAGCGGGAGAATAAAGTCAGAGCCAGGGGCTTGAGAAGTTAGTTAGCCCCGGAACCGCTTGAGAAGAGAGTTAGGGCTGGACCGCGAGAGAAACCGGTTAGAAGAAAACTAGTACTGTACTTCGTTAGAAGGATATGTTAAACTTGGAGTTTAGCTAGAACAGTGATTGAGTAACTCGTAGAGAGACATAAGAATAGATAGTTTCAAGATAACAAACAGTTCATATACTATTGCTTATTGAATTTATGAAGTCTGTGTGACGAGAATATTGTGAATAAACCAACTCTTGTGTAATTGTTACATCACTGGCCTTGTTCTTAAATACGATTGAAGAGAGCTACGAACTATATTCACATCATACAGGCGCTCTACATACCTACACACACGCATACAATCCAGACACATACAGACACACACACATGCAGTCACGGGCACACACATGGGGACACATACACACACGCAGACACACACATTGACATACACAACACCCACACATACACAGATATACACACACAGACACGCACAGTCAGACATACACACACAGAGGCATAACCCGACACAAGCAGAGACACGCAGACATAATATAATATAATAATGACATAATGAACTGCATCAAGGACACTTTTTTGAACACTCTACGAAGCAGAGTGATCAGATTAACTATAGCATGTGTTTTAGCAGCCATCATAATTTGTATACTAGTCGGAAGGAGAAACATGAATTGCATCAAACTAAAAACGATCAAAACGAAACGGCCGACAACTATAGAGGACAGAACTGGCAACAAAATAGTGACGATGCCTAATTTTGAAAATGTGAAGGACATTGAAACCAGGACATAAGAAACACTTTATACCTAGAACTATCCGTGAAACAAGTCACTGATTTATAATGTGAACAAGCAAAAACTATGTGTTAAAGTGCAATGATTACTGAAAAATGTTTCGTTGCCAAAAAGGATTTAAATACTTTGTGTTACTATTTCCTGGATTGAAATAGTTATTATGTGTTTAAAATTGTCTAAACTCTGAGTTAATGATGTAAGACTATATTTGTTGTGAAAACTCTGAAGACCATCAAGTGATTAAAAGGCAGGTCGTTATAAGCTTTTGTCTGCAACCTTGATTCCAATTAAGTAAATGATCTTATAGATAGTGAGGATAGCACTTCATAAGAGTGACAATTATATCGAATATGATGTTTGCTTTGTAGCAACAGGCATTTATAACAGTGCAAATGGCACTTTATAAAACCTATAATCAGAGTTGGCTTTCTGCTTTTGCCTCACAATATATCGTACTGCTGTCAAATGTAATTTTTTTCGTTAATTGCTACAATAATGAGAAGTCACAAACCTGAGGTGACATAACAAGTGTCATGAAAGAGGAAAATACAGGAAAAGTGCGCTAACGGAACTTGACTCACTACATAGCTGATTGAGCTAAAGTGACAATATAAGTCTGATGAAATAAAGTACCTAAATTGTTAATTATGCAAATTATGGCAGAACCTAGAGTCGTGAAGTTAAAGCAGACTTCAAGTAATATGTCACAAATGCTGAAGCTAGTTACATGGTGACATGACGGAACATGATTGAAACAGTACTGAAATAAGAAGAAGATTACAAAGAGATATTTTTATTAAACTGCAAAAAATGTGCAGTAATATTGCATGTAAAAATGATTGTATTCTGATTGTTCTTCTTTTATCTTAATACTGTTATAATTTATAATCGAGTTGTAGAGGACTTAAAAATAATAATACTTCTACAATAGTTAAAGCACGAAGAAGAAGATAGAACCAAGAATCAGAGTGCAAATACTTCGAAATTACAGATGTAAATTTCTCAATGGAGACTATCAATAATACATTACAAGGATGTCATGTGAACTGTAGAAGTAAAGGAAATGATGGTGAGTTACGATGTCATCTTTCATCAACTTGAAAGATTAATACTTGCAAACTGTTTTCACCATATAATGATAATGAAGGTGGAAGATATATGTTTGACTAGAGACACTGGTCCTAATAATTAGTTTATTGTAGAATTTTTTGTTTGTTTGTGAAGCCCACACCCCCCCCCCCTTCCACCCCACCCCCTAAAAAAAAATTATAGTCTGGACAGGAGCAGATGTAATAGAGTAATTGTACAGATTCAATAATTGTATGTGCTATGTATGATTGTAATCACATCTCCCGTGCTCCATGTGCGATTTAATTATGAAGTCTTTTGCAGTGAGAATTGAACCCTGCTCTTAACAAGTAGATAAGGCACGCTCTAACCAAGGCCATACAAATACAGAATTACCCAAGGAGAATAGCTAATTTGTTTCACCAGAAAGTACCATTTTATAGTCCCTCAGTCGATTATCTAGGTAACTGTCGCAACGACCTGACAAAGTTTGAAATTCACAGAAGATTTCCAGGAGAGCAACATTTTCCTACAGCGTAATTAGATAATCACCAAACGTAATAGTTTTAATTAATCACATAAAAAAAGGAAACATCCCCTACAGTGAATACACTTGAGTTAAGTTTAATGTGGTGTAGTTAAAGGTAAATAAAGTAGAAAATTTAAATTAAGTGGCACATTATCAGACAGGAACTAGTTATGTAAAATTTTGTTTGGCACCTGTGGAATAAGGTTAAAGACAGACCTCTACTGACACTCTGAACTGAGTCGGGCATCTTCTGAACAACTGGTAGAGGCTGAACACGTTATAGAATACTAGGGCCTTTACGTCATGAGAAGAAAAGAAAAATATTCAAGGCCTGGCACAATTTTGCTGACAACAGTTGAAAGAAATTTGTTAGCAGCCATTCAGGACATGATAGTAGAAAGTTGTATGAAAATAGGACGACAGGAAAATTGTCTAGAATGATATTTAGCTTTTGCGGAAGTGAAAGTTTTCTGTTATATTAAGCCATAATTGTATAAACGTAGTATACCATGTGCAAACACAACATTTTGGATGGTCAGGTTTTGACTGCCATGGGTTATGAGTCCTATGTCTCCTCTTAGCACAATATAATACTATCACCTGGAAAGATGAACAGGCGCCAATCATGCAGACTATAGATGACATGTAACAGTTTTACATACTATAAATAACATAGGTAGAAGTTTTACAGACTTAAGATGACATATATAGAAGGTATACAGACCACACATGACATATGTAGAAGTTACACAGACCACAGATGACATATGTAGAAGTTATACAGACCACAGATGACATATGTCAAAGTTATACATACCATAGCTGATATATGTCAAAGTTATACTGCCTATAGTTGACATATGTAGATGTTATACAGATCACATATGACACATGTAGAAGTTATACAGGCCATAGATAACATATGAAGAAGTTATACAAATCACATATGACACATGTAGAAGTTATACAGATCACATATGACAGATGTAGAAGTTATACAGATCACATATGACACATGTCGAAGTTATACAGATCACATATGACAAATGTAGAAGTTATACAGACCATAGATGGCAGGTATAGAAGTTATACAGATCACATATGACACATGTAGAAGTTATACAGATCACATATGACACATGTAGAAGTTATACAGATCACATATGACACTTGAAGAAGTTATACAGACCATAGATGGCAGGTTTAGAAGGTATACAGATCACAAATGACACATGTAGAAATTATACAGGCCATAGATAACATATGAAGAAGTTATACAGACCATAGATGACACATGAAGAAGTTATACAGATCAAATATGACAGATGTAGAAGTTATACAGATCACATATGACACATGTAGAAGTTATACAGACCATAGATGGCTGGTATAGAAGTTATACAGATCACATATGACACATGTAGAAGTTATACAGATCACATATGACAGATGTAGAAGTTATACAGACCATAGATGGCAGGTATAGCAGTTATACAGATCACATATGACACATTTAGAAGTTATACAGATCACATATGACACATGTAGAAGTTATACAGATCACATATGACACATGTAGAAGTTATACAGATCACATATGACATTTGAAGAAGTTATACAGACCATAAATGGCAGGTATAGAAGTTATACAGATCACATATGACACATGTAGAAGTTATACAGATCACATATGACAGATGTAGAAGTTATACAGACCATAGATGGCAGGTATAGAAGTTATACAGATCACATATGACTCATGTAGAAGTTATACAGACCATAGATGGCAGGTATAGAAGTTATACAGATCACATATGACACATGTAGAAGTTATACAGGCCCTAGATGACATATGAAGAAGTTATTTAGATCATAGATGGCAGGTGTAGAAGGTATACAGATCACATATGACACATGTAGAAGTTATACAGGCCATAGATGATAAATGAAGAAGTTATAGAGACCATAGCCGATATATGTCAAAGTTATACTGCCTATAGTTGACATATGTAGGTTATACAGACCACATATCACATATGTAGAAGTTATTCAGATCACATATGACACATGTAAAAGTTATACAGGCCCTAGATAACATATGAAGAAGTTATACAGACCATAGATGGCAGGAGTAGAAGGTATACAGATCACATATGACACATGTCAAAGGTTTACAGACCACTGATGCCACATGTAGAAGGTATACAGACAGCAACATACTTCTACAGAAACACACTGGAGTCTAATCAAACACAAACACAGACCCACCATTCTGCCAACATCTTCAATCTTTTCATCTGTGGCTGACCACTTCCTCCTCTCTTCTTCAATGATGCTAAAAAAGTTACTCTCAGCCTTTGAATACAAGTCCTCGTCGATGAAGTTTGTACTGTCTTCCTTCTCTACATCTTCATCAGCCTCATGCTACACTCAGAGACATCAGCATTTTATTAGATGCACATTTTTACATGTTATCACTGGTACACAATCTGTGGCCAATGTATTTTTATGACATAAATCTGTGTACACACATCTGTGGCATCATTTGAGTACACACATAAATGACATAAATTTGTATACACACATTTGTGACATAAATTTGAGTACACACATATATGACAGAAATCTGTGTACACACATCTATGGCATAAATTTGAGTACACATATATATGACAGAAATCAGTGAACACATATATGATAGAAATCTGTGTACACACATATAGGACAGAAATCTGTGTACCTATATAATCATGTAGCAGGTCTCTAGCAGCATGTCACTATCATCACGGTCATCCTGAAAAAACTCAAGTCTCTCACCAGCTGTCTCACCTCGTGTACTTTCACATTCAAGGAGCCACTTATATCCTGTGCCCATCTTTGTGTTGGTCGGTCCTGTTCCTTCTTCCTGGTACCATACTTTCTACCATTACTTTTTTTCCAATCTGCCAAGACGCTTGATATGACCAAAATATTTCAGCTTCCAAGGCAAGATGATGATAATCAGCCAATCTTCCTCGATGTTCAGATCGCTTCAAATTTCAGTATTTCTTCTTGTCACGAAATGGCAGTGGTTCACCATGGAGTGCCACTCTCTCGCGTGGGACATAGCTTGATGCTACTCAAGTGTACAGAATTATCGGCAGTGCATGGAAGCCATTGACGTCATAGTTATACACGCAAGTGCAGTACTCACTAGTGTCTATGAAATGACCTAGTATGAACATCATAATCATGGGACCGCTGTTCTAAGCTTGGTATCAGTGAACATATGGGGAATTCTCGGTTTCAGCATACTAGAGGGAACACAGGAATGCCGCCAGGGCAACGGCAGTCACTATGTGCAGGGAATACCACCTGATGATGATGTCCGTACCTAGGCCCGATTAAGAAATAATGTCATGCGCACTGGAAGAAGCTCTGAGGATCCCATTACCGGAAACCTACGTACCTCTGGAAACCTCACTTCCGCCCCTTCCAATTCTAGTCAGCCGTACATGCAGACGTACAGATATTTAGGAGATTCGCTAGCCAGTAACATCAGGTGCAACCTCTTGCAATTTTAAGTGTGTTGAATATTCAGAAAGTTAAGTCCCACCGCCAGATTGACGGAGTGGCCATGGGAAGCCTGTTGGGTCCTATCCTGGCAGACATCTTTATGGCACACTAAGAGGAAAAAAGATCTCTGGATATTGATAACCTGGTGTGTTACAAACGTTATGTAGGTGATATTTTTATTGTTGCCACTGATAAACAAGAGAAATACTACACACGCATATGAACCGGGCACACAAAAACATCTCACCATCCCTACAACATGAAAGTAACAACACTATCGCCTTTTTAGACGTCCTGATCAGACAAAGGGAAGACAGCACCATCCAATAATCAGTATATAGGAAAGATACTTGGACGGGCCCGTAAATGAACCTTACTAGTTTTGCACCCATTCATTACAAACGTGGCCTAGTACGAACAATATTCAATCGAGCTAGAAAGATTTGCTCCAGCGATACGCTACAGTCTGAACTAGAAACCCTCAAACAAATGTTATTATTGAACGCACACCTAGTTGGATTTATTAAGGGCCACTGCCTACCTCCTCAACCAAATACTTTAGAAACGTCAGTCCCCAAACAACAAGTCTACATACATCTAACCTATCGAGGGGATGACGTTATGAAACAGCTATATGATGGGATCAAAACAGCAGTCAGCCAAACTTTCCTAGCCGCTTTGCCAATTATCAGGTTTAAAACTACGCCTGTACCAACGCCCTCTGTGAAACAACCAGTGTCGACGTACTCCAAATCAAATTGTATCTACAAATTTAAATGTAGCTGTGAGGCTGCTTATGTGGGCAGAACGAATCGACGCCTGGAGAAACGAGTCGCTGAGCACATTCCAGTATGGGTGGAAAAAGCCATGCAAAATAATATTCAAAATGAGAATACTGGCCGCAAAGATCACCCCTCTGCAATAGCACACCATCTTCTAAAATCTGGACAAGTGGTGACGAAACACAATGCATTTCAAATCCTTCATATGTCAACCAATGGCAGAATGCTACGATTTCTTGAAGCTTCCACGATTCGTCACCTGCGCCCGGAACTCTGTATTCAAAAGAGATGTTTCTGTCTTTACGGCTGCCCTGGTAAAAAAAGGCAGTCATGTTTGACCATTGTTGAAATTGTACTTCAGTTATAAAGGATTCACTTATTTGCTTGTTTATGTAATTGTTTCTGTAGTATGCACATGACGAGATACAGAAAAATATGCCAGTCAATAAATTGTGCAGTCTATTGTTTATGTCTTCTTTGATCAAATTCACATCTATATGTTGCTATAAGGAAGAGAATGTTCTCAAAATTGTAATTGTGATTTCCTTGCTGGAGATAAATCATAGACTTGTAAAGCTGTTTAATCTTTGCATTGCTATGGAGATCCTCATTTTGACTTCTGTCAGTCTCTATTGCTATTTATTATAGAGCCTAGATAATCAAAGTCTGTGACATTTTTGATCTCTTCTAATTTATTGTTATTGTTAGGTATACACTGGTGTGTATCTGTTCACATATATTTGATAAATATCTGTGAACACAATTATACAAGACAGAAATCTGTGTACACACTTTTGTGACAGAAATCTGTGTACACACATTTGTGACAGAAACTTTGAGTGTAGAGTGTGTTACTTGTGTGTTGGTAGAGTGTGTTACTTGTGTAATAGTAGAGTGATTTACTTGTGTGTTGGTAGAGTGTGTTACTTGTGTGTTGGTAAGGTGTGTTACTTGTGTGTGTTGATAGCACGTATCTGGTAGAGAGTGTTAGGACATCAGCAACTAGTGTAGAAGGAGGACTAACTAGCGTGGGCTGACTTCAGTCACTTGTGTGGACTGGGGACTTCACTAATTAGTGTAAGCTGAGGACTTCACTAACTAATGTGGGCTGAGGATGTTACTTACTATTGTGGGCTCAGGATTTCACTAACTAATGTGGGCTAAGGACTTCCCTAATTAGTGTGACCTGATGACTTCACTAACTAGTGTGACCTAAGGACTTCACTAACTAGTGTGGGCTGAGGACTTCACTAACTAGTGTGACCTGAGGACTTCACTAACTAGTGTGGGCTGAGGACTTCACTAACTAGTGTGGGCTGAGGACATCACTAACTAGTGTGGGCTGAGGACTTCACTAACTAGTGTGGGCTGAGGACTTCACTAACTAGTGTGACCTGAGGACTTCACTAACTAGTGTGGGCTGAGGACTTCTCTAACTAGTGTGACCTGAGGACTTCACTAACTAGTGTGACCTGAGGACTTCACTAGCTAGTGTGGGCTGATGACTTCACTAACTATTGTGACCTGAGGACTTCACTAGCTAGTGTGACCTGAGGACTTCACTAACTAGTGTGACCTGAGGACTTCACTAACTAGTGTGACCTGAGGACTTCACTAACTAGTGTGGACTAATGACTTCACTAACTAGTGTGACCTGAGGACTTCACTAACTAGTGTGACCTGAGGACTTCACTAACTAGTGTGACCTGAGGACTTCACTAACTAGTGTGGACTGATGACTTCACTAACTAGTGTGACCTGAGGACTTCACTAACTAGTGTGACCTGATGACTTCACTAACTAGTGTGACCTGAGGACTTCACTAACTAGTGTGGGCTGATGACTTCACTAACTAGTGTGACCTGAGGACTTCACTAGCTAGTGTGACCTGAGGACTTCACTAACTAGTGTGACCTGAGGACTTCACTAACTAGTGTGACATGATAACTTCACTAACTAGTGTGACCTGAGGACTTAACTAGCTAGTGTGACATGATGACTTCACTAACTAGTGCGACCTAATTAGTGTGACATAATGACTTCACTAACTAGTGTGACCTGATGACTTCACAAACTATTATGTGCTGAGGACTTCACTAACTAGTGTGACCTGAGGACTTCACTAACTAGTGTGACCTGAGGACTTCACTAACTAGTGTGACCTGATGACTTTACTAACTGGTGTGACCTGATGACTTAACTAACTAGTGTGACCTGATGACTTCACTAACTAGTGTGACCTGAGGAGTTCACTAACTAGTGTGGACTGATGACTTTACTAACTAGTATGGACTGATGACTTCACTAACTAGTGTGGACTGATGACTTCACTAACTAGTGTGACCTGAGGACTTCACTAACTAGTGTGACCTGATGACTTCACAAACTAGTGTGACCTGATGACTTCACTAACTATTGTGACCTAATGAATTCACTAACTAGTGTGACCTGAGGACTTCACTAACTAGTGTGGCCTGAGGACTTCACTAACTAGTGTGACCTGAGGACTTCACTAACTAGTGTGACCTGAGGACTTCACTAACTAGTGTGACCTGAGGACTTCACTAACTAGTGTGGACTGTTGACTTCACTAACTAGTGTGGGATGAGGACTTCACTAACTAGTGTAGGCTGAGGACTTCACTAACTAGTGTGACCTGAGGACTTCACTAACTAGTGTAGGCTGATGACTTCACTAACTAGTGTGACCTGAGGACTTCACTAACTAGTGTGACCTGAGGACTGCACTAACTAGGGTGACCTGAGGACTTCACTAACTATTGTGGGCTGATGACTTCACTAACTAGTGTGACCTGAGGATTTCACTAACTAGTGTAGGCTGATGACTTCACTAACTAGTGTAGGCTGATGACTTCACTAACTAGTGTAGGCTGATGACTTCACTAATTAGTGTGGGCTGAGGACTTCACTAACTAGTGTAGGCTGAGGACTTCACTAACTAGTGTTGGCTGAGGACTTCACTAACTAGTGTGGGCTGAGGATTTCACTAATTAGTGTGGGCTGAGGACTTCACTAACTAGTGTGGGCTGAGGTCTTCACTAACTAGTGTGGGCTGATGACTTCACTAACTAGTGTGGGCTGATGACTTAACTAACTAGTGTAGGCTGAGGACTTCACTAACTAGTGTGGGCTGAGGACTTTACTAACTAGTGTGGGCTGAGGATTTCACTAATTAGTGTGGGCTGAGGATTTCACTAATTAGTGTGGGCTGAGGACTTCACTAACTAGTGTAGGCTGATGACTTAACTAACTAGTGTAGGCTGAGGACTTCACTAACTAGTGTGGGCTGAGGACTTCACTAACTTGTGTAGGCTGAGGTCTTCACTAACTAGTGTAGGCTGAGGACTTCACTAACTATTGTGGGCTGAGGACTTCACTAACTAGTGTAGGCTGAGCACTTCACTAACTATTGTGGGCTGATGACTTCACTAACTAGTGTGACTTGAGGACTTCACTAACTATTGTGGGCTGAGGACTTCACTAACTAGTGTGGACTGATGACTTCACTTACTAGTGTGGACTGATGACTTCACTAACTAGTGTGAGCTGAGGACTTCACTAACTAGTGTGACCTGAGGACTTCACTAACTAGTGTGACCTGATGACTTCACTAACTAGTGTGACCTGATGACTTCACTAACTAGTGTGACCTGAGGACTTCACTAACTAGTGTGACCTGAGGACTTCACTAACTAGTGTGACCTGATGACTTTAGTAACTATTTTTATGCAAACAAGCAAGGGAACATTTACATATGTGTACACAGCTGTCTATACAAACACACAGGGCACAGACATGAGTGGCCTACCTTAGATCCAGCTGTCTTGGCTCTCTCCTTCAAACGAATTTCCCTGTGTCTGGCATCCAAGATTTTTTCTCTCCTAGTCTCTCTCTCAAAAATCTGCAAAAAAACAACAATAAGATATCAGAGGATCAAATAGCTACACATAATAAGACCTTTTACAAGTGTGAATACACATACCAATAATTGTATTTCACTAACTATTTCATTAAAGTGTGTAAACAGATTTCTGTCACAAAAGTGTGTGCATAGATTTTGCTTTCAAAAGTGTGTACACAGATTTGTCACAAAAGTGTGTACACAGATTTCTGGTTCAAAAGTGTGTACACAGATTTTTTTGTCACAAAAGTGAGCACACAGATTTCTGCCACAAAAGTTTGCATAGAGATTTCTGTCACAAATGTCTGCACACAGATTTCTGTCACAAAAATGTGTACACAGATTTCTGTCACAAAAGTGAGTACAAAGTTTCTGTCACAAATGTGTGGTCACAGATTTCTGTCACAAAAGTGTGTACATAGATTTTTGTCTCAAAGGTGTGCATACAGATTTTTGTCACATGTTTACACATATTTTTTTGTCACAAAAGTCTGTACACAGATTTCTGTCACAAAATGTGTACACAGATTTTTCGTCACAAAAGTGTACACAGATTTCTGTCACAAAAGTGTGTACATATATTTTTTGTCACAAAAGTCTGTACAGGGATTCTATCATGAAAGTGAGTACACAGATTTCTGTCAGAAAAGTGTGCACACTGATTTCTGTTACAAAAGTGAGTATATAGTTTCTGTCACAAATGTGTGGTCACTGATTTCTGTCACAAAAGTATGTCCAAAGATTTATGTCATACAAAGTGTGCAAAGATTTCTTTCTTATATAATTGTATACACTGTCCTCAGCCCACATTTGTCAGTGAAGTCCTTAGCCTATATTACTTGGTGAAGTCCTCAGCCAATATTAGTGAAGTCCTCAGCCCATATTAGTTAGTGAAGTCCTCAGCCTATATTAGTGAAGTCCTCAGTCAATATTAGTGAAGTCCTCAGCCTATATTAGTGAAGTCCTCAGCCCATATTAGTTAGTGAAGTCCTCAGCCTATATTAGTTAGTGAAGTCCTCAGCCTATATTAGTGAAGTCCTCAGCCAATATTAGTGAAGTCCTCAGCCCATATTATTTAGTGAAGTCCTCAGCGCATATTAGTTAGTGAAGTCCTCAGCCTATATTAGTGAAGTCCTCAGCCAATATTAGTGAAGTCCTCAGTCCATATTAGTTAGTGAAGTCCTCAGCCCATATTAGTTAGTGAAGTCCTCAGCCTATATTAGTTAGTGAAGTCCTCAGCCCATATTAGTTAGTGAAGTCCTCAGCCCATATTAGTGAAGTCCTCAGTCCATATTAGTTAGTGAAGTCCTCAGCCCATATTAGTGAAGTCCTCAGTCCATATTAGTTAGTGAAGTCATCAGCCCATATTAGTGAAGTCCTCAGCCCATATTAGTTAGTGAAGTCCTCAGCCCATATTAGTGAAGTCCTCAGCCCATATTAGTGAAGTCATCAGCCCATATTAGTGAAGTCATCAGCCCATATTAGTGAAGTCATCAGCCCATATTAGTTAGTGAAGTCCTCAGCCTATATTAGTGAAGTCCTCAGTCAATATTAGTGAAGTCCTCAGTCAATATTAGTGAAGTCCTCAGCCTATATTAGTGAAGTCCTCAGCCTATATTAGTGAAGTCCTCAGCCTATATTAGTGAAGTCCTCAGCCTATATTAGTGAAGTCCTTAGCCTATATTAGTGAAGTCCTCAGCCTATATTAGTGAAGTCCTCAGCCAATATTAGTGAAGTCCTCAGCCCATATTAGTGAAGTCCTCAACCCATATTAGTGAAGTCCTCAGCCAATATTAGTGAAGTCCTCAGCCCATATTAGTGAAGTCCTCAGCCTATATTAGTGAAGTCCTTAGCCAATATTATTGAAGTCCTTAGCTCATATTAGTGAAGTCCTCAGCACATATTAGTGAAGTCCTCAGCCTATATTAGTTAGTGAAGTCCTCAGCCTATATTAGTGAAGTCCTCAGCCCATATTAGTTAGCGAAGTCCTCAGCCTATAGTGAAGTTTAGTGAAGTCCTCAGCCCATATTAGTTAGTGAAGTCCTCAGCCATATAGTCCTAGTTAGTGAAGTCCTCAGCCTGAAGTATATTAGTGAAGTCCTTAGCCCATATTAGTGAAGTCCTCAGCCTATATTAGTGAAGTCCTAGCATAGTCCTAGCCTATAGTAGTGAAGTCCTCAGCCCATATTAATTAGTGAAGTCCTCAGCCTATATTAGTGAAGTCCTCAGCCTATATTAGTTAGTGAAGTCCTCAGCCTATATTAGTAAAGTCCTCAGCCCATATTAGTTAGCGAAGTCCTCAGCGCATATTAGTTAGTGAAGTCCTCAGCCTATATTAGTGAAGTCCTCAGCCAATATTAGTGAAGTCCTCAGCCCATATTAGTGAAGTCCTCAGCCTATATTAGTGAAGTCCTCAGCCCATATTAGTGAAGTCCTCAGCCCATATTAGTTAGTGAAGTCCTCAGTCCACATTAGTTAGTGAAGTCCTCAGTCCATATTAGTGAAGTTAGTGAGCCCATATTAGTGAAGTCCTCAGCCCATATTAGTTAGTGAAGTCCTCAGCCTATATTAGTGAAGTCCTCAGCCCATATTAGTTAGTGAAGTCCTCAGCGCATATTAGTTAGTGAAGTCCTCAGCCCATATTAGTTAGTGAAGTCCTCAGCCAATATTAGTGAAGTCCTCAGCCCATATTAGTTAGTGAAGTCCTCAGCCCATATTAGTTAGTGAAGTCCTCAGTCAATATTAGTGAAGTCCTCAGCCCATATTAGTGAAGTCCTCAGCCCATATTAGTGAAGTCCTCAGCCCATATTAGTGAAGTCCTCAGCCCATATTAGTGAAGTCATAAGCCCATATTAGTGAAGTCATCAGCCCATATTAGTGAAGTCATCAGCCAATATTAGTGAAGTCCTCAGCCCATATTAGTTAGTGAAGTCCTTAGTGCATATTAGTTAGTGAAGTCCTAAGCGCATATTAGTTAGTGAAGTCCTCAGCCTATATTCGTGAAGTCATCAGCCTTTTTTAGTTAGTGAAGTCCTCAGCGCATATTAGTTAGTGAAGTCCTCAGTCCATTATGAAGTCCTCAGCCCATATTAGTTAAGTCCTCAGCCAATATTAGTGAAGTCCTCAGCCCTCAGTCCTCAGTCAATATTAGTGAAGTCCTCAGTCAATATTAGTGAAGTCCTCAGAAGTCCTCAGCCTATATTAGTGAAGTCCTCAGCCAATATTAGTGAAGTCCTCAGCCTATATTAGTGAAGTCCTCAGCCATATATTAGTGAAGTCCTCATATTAGTTACTTATTTAGTGAAGTCCTCAGCCCATATTAGTTAGTGAAGTCCTCAGCCAATATTAGTGAATCATTAGTGATTAGTGTCCTCAGCCTATATTAGTGAAGTCCTCAGCCTCAGCCTATATTAGTGAAGTCCTCAGCCTCAGCAGCCTATATTAGTATATTAGTGAAGTCCTCAGCATATTATATTAGTGAAGTCCTCAGCCATATATTAGTGAAGTCCTCAGCCTATATTAGTGAAGTCCTAGCCTATATTAGTGAAGTCCTCAGCCCATATATTAGTGAAGTCCTCAGCCCCTATATTAGTTAGTGAAGTGAAGTCAGCCCATATTAGTAGTCCTGCCTATATTAGTCCTCAGTCCCATATTAGTAGTGAAGTGAAGTCCTCAGTATATTAGTGAAGTCCTCAGCCCATATTAGTTAGTGAAGTCCTCAGCCCATATTAGTTAGTGAAGTCCTCAGCCCATATTAGTTAGTGAAGTCCTCAGCCCATATTAGTTAGTGAAGTCCTCAGCCTATATTAGTGAAGTCCTCAGCCTATATTAGTGAAGTCCTCAGCCTATATTAGTGAAGTCCTCAGCCTATATTAGTGAAGTCCTCAGCCTATATTAGTGAAGTCCTCAGCCTATATTAGTGAAGTCCTCAGCCTATATTAGTGAAGTCCTCAGCCTATATTAGTGAAGTCCTCAGCCCATATTAGTTAGTGAAGTCCTCAGCCCATATTAGTTAGTGAAGTCCTCAGCCTATATTAGTTAGTGAAGTCCTCAGCCCATATTAGTTAGTGAAGTCCTCAGCCTATATTATATAGTTAGTGAAGTCCTCAGCCTATATTAGTGAAGTCCTCAGCCTATATTAGTGAAGTCCTCAGCCTATATTAGTGAAGTCCTCAGCCTATATTAGTGAAGTCCTCAGCCCATATTAGTTAGTGAAGTCCTCAGCCCATATATAGTGAAGTCCTAGCCTAGTGAAGTCCTCAGCCTATATTAGTGAAGTCCTCAGCCATATAGTTAGTGAAGTCCTCAGCCTATATATAGTTAGTAGAAGTCCTCAGCCCATATTAGTTGTGAAGTCCTCAGCCCATAGTTAGTAGTCCTTATTAGTTAGTGAAGTCCTCAGCCCATATTTAGTGAAGTCCTAGTGAAGTCCTCAGCCCATATTAGTTAGTGAAGTCCTCAGCCCATATTAGTTAGTGAAGTCCTCAGCCTATATTAGTGAAGTCCTCAGCCAATATTAGTGAAGTCCTCAGCCTATATTAGTGAAGTCCTCAGAAGTCCTCAGCCTATATTAGTGAATTATTAGTGAAGTCCTCAGCCTATATTAGTGAAGTCCTCAGCCTATATTATATTAGTGTGAAGTCCTCAGCCAATATTAGTTAGTGAAGTCCTCAGCCCATATTAGTTAGTAGTTAGTGAAGTCCTCAGCCCATATTAGTTAGTGAAGTCCTCAGCCCATATTAGTCCTCAGCCCATAGTAGTCCTCCTCAGCCCATATTAGTTAGTGAAGTCCTCAGCCCATATTATTAGTTAGTTAGTGAAGTCCTCAGCCTATATTAGTTAGTGAAGTCCTCAGCCTATATTAGTTAGTGAAGTCCTCAGCCCATAGTTAGTTAGTGAAGTCCTCAGCCTATATTAGTATATTAGTTAGTGAAGTCCTCAGCCCATATTAGTAGTGAGTCCTCAGCCATATTAGTCCATATTAGTGATTAGTGAAGTCCTCAGCCCATATTAGTTAGTGAAGTCCTCAGTCCTCCATATTAGTTAGTGAAGTCCTCAGCCCATATAGTTAGTGAAAGTCCTCAGCCTATATATTAGTGAAGTTCTCAGCCCATATTAGTTAGTGAAGTCCTCAGCCTATATTACTTAGTGAAGTCCTCAGCCCTATTATAGTTAGTCCTCAGCCCTATATTAGTGAAGTCCTCAGCCCATATTAGTTAGTGAAGTCCTCAGCCTATATTAGTGAAATTCTCAGCCCATGTTAGTCAGTGAAGTTCTCAGCCTATATTACTTGGTGAAGCCCTAAGCCAATATTAGTTTGTGAAGTCCTCAGCCCATATTAGTTAGTAAAGTCCTCAGCCCATATTAGTTAGTGAAGTCCTCAGCCCATATTAGTTAGTGAAGTCCTCAGCCCATATTAGTTAGTGAAGTCCTCAGCCCATATTAGTTAGTGAAGTCCTCAGCCCATATTAGTTAGTGAAGTCCTCAGCCCATATTAGTTAGTGAAGTCTTCAGTCCATATTAGTCAGTGAAGTCTTCAGTCCATATTAGTTAGTGAAGTCTTCAGTCCATATTAGTTAGTGAAGTCCTCAGCCCATATTAGTTAGTGAAGTCTTCAGTCCATATTAGTTAGTGAAGTCTTCAGTCCATATTAGTTAGTGAAGTCCTCAGCCCACATTACTTAGTAAAGTCCTCAGCCCTCACTAGTTAGTTACTGAAGTGCTCCGCCCACATTAGTTAGTCAAGTCCTTAGCCCACATTAGTTTGTTAGGTAGGTTGCCTCTATGAATTCGCATGTCAACTTCAGGTCCTTCATGGTTTCCGACAGCTTGCTCTGCACACTTTGCTCTTGAGGCCAGGTTACCTTTCTAAGTTTTAGGTAGAGTGGGCAGGTCTCAAGAAAGTGCTCAGGTGTTTGCGGTCTGTCTAACATGCACACTGTGGGGACTGTACAGTCTTTATTTTATGCATTTGGTAGTTGAGCCTATAGTGTCCTGTTTTTAGACAGAAAACTGCTATAAGTTGCTTTCTGTTGAGTCTGCTGATGGAGTCTTGTGGATGTTTGCTGTTAATTTGTCATCTCCACCATTCCTTATATTTTCCCTTGACAAGTGTTTTGATCACTTCCTCCCAGTTGTTTCATCACTTCTCTTTACAAACAGGTGACCAACTGGTGACGGGACAGACACATTTAACTAGCAGCTTCTGACCAACTGATGACAAGACAGACACATTCAACTAGCAGCTACTGACCAACTGGGGATCAGACAGACACAATTAACAAGCAGCTACTGACCAACTGGTGACTAGACAGACACAGTTAACAAGTAGCTACTGACCAACTGGTGACTAGACACACAATTAACAAGCAGCTACTGACCAATTGGTGACTAGACAGACACAATTAACAAGCAGCTTCTGACCAACTGGTGACTAGGCACATTCAACTAGCAGTTACTCACCAACTGGTGACTAGACGACACAATTAACAAGCAGCTACTGACCAACTGGTGACTAGGCACATTCAACTAGCAGCTACTGACCAACAGGTGACCAGAAAGACACATTCAACAAGCAATTACTGACCAACTGGTGACTAGAAAGACACATTCAACAAGCAATTACTGACCAACTGGTGACTAGAAAGACACATTCAACAAGCAGCTACTGACCAACTGGTGACTAGAAAGACACATTCAACAAGCAGTTACTGACCAACTGGTGACTAGAAAGACACATTCAACAAGCAGTTACTGACCAACTGGTGACTAGAAAGACACATTCAACAAGCAGTTACTGACCAACTGGTGACTAGAAAGACACATTCAACAAGCAGTTACTGACCAACTGGTAACCAGACAGACACATTCAACTAGCAGCTACTTACACTGGTAACTAGACAGACACATTTAACTAGCAGCTGCTGACCAACTGGTGACCAGACACATTCAACTAGCAGCTACTGACCAACTGATGACCAGACAGACACATTCAACAAGCAGCTACTTACACAGGTGACCAGAAAGACACATTCAACTAGCAGCTACTGACCAACTGGTGACCAGACAGACACATTCAACAAGCAGCTACTTACACAGGTGACCAGAAAGACACATTCAACTAGCAGCTGCTGACCAACTAGTGACCAGACAGACACATTCAACTAGCAGCCACTGACCAACTGGTGACTAAAAAGACACATTCAACAAGCAGCTACTTACACTGGTGACCAGACTTCTCTCATTGCGTGCCTGTGTGTACAGACTTTCAGACAGCTCCAGCAAGGTAGTTGTGCCATCTTCAGACCCAGTAGCAATCCACTTTCCAGACTCATTTATCCGCAGACTGTGTAGAGGGACATCACACACCTGATCTCAGAGATAATTAAAGACTGAAATGCTAGTAGAAAGAGATGCCACACAACCAGATTCAGCCGTGCTGAAGAAATTACCAATCAGAAAGGAGACTCAGTAGCTGATAAAACCAAATTAAATCTGAGTCCTCAAACTGTAAACTAGCAAGATGGACAGACAATCTTTGACTAGAAACATGCTCCTGCATGAGGAGGAAGCATTCAAATACTACAAGCAGGTGCATTTAAATCACAAGACTGAAATGATTTGCCAATATACTTCCCTATATAACTGTGTGTCATCAGAGCTCTTTTATAACTGTGTGTCATCAGAGCTCTTATATAACTGTGTGTCATCAGAGCCCCTATCTGTGTGTCATCAGAGCACCTATTTAACTGTGTGTCATCAGAGCCCTTATATAACTGTTGTCATTAGAGCACCTATATAACTGTGTGTCATCAGAGCACCTATTTAACTTTGTGTCATCAGAGCCCTTAAATAATTGTGTGTCATCAGAACACCTATATAACTGTGTCATCAGAGCCTTTAAATAACTGTGTGTCATCAGAGCACCTATATAACTGTCTGTCATCAGAGCCCTCAAATAATTGTCATCAGAGCCCTTTTATAACTGTGTGTCATCAAAGCACCCATATAACTGTCTGTCATCAAAGCACCTATATAAGTGTGTGTCATCAGAGCCCCCATATAACTGTGTGTCATCAGAGCCCCTATATAACTGTGTGTCATCAGAGCACCTATTTAACTGTGTGTCATCAGAGCATCTATATAAATGTGTGTTATCAGAGCCCTTATATAACTGTGTGTCATCAGAGCACCTATTTAACTGTGTGTCATCAGAGCCCTTATAACTGTGTGTTATCAGAGCACCTATATAACTGTGTGTCATCAGAGCACCTATTTAACTGTGTGTCATCAGAGCCCTTATATAACTGTGTGTTATCAGAGCCCCTATATAACTGTGTGTCATCAGAGCACCTATTTAACTGTGTGTCATCAGAGCCCTTATATAACTGTGTGTTATCAGAGCACCGATATAACTGTGTGTCATCAGAGCACCTATTTAACTGTGTGTCATCAGAGCCCTAATATAACTGTGTGTCATCAGAGCAGCTATATAACTGTGTCATCAGAGCCCTTATTTAACTGTGTCACCAGAGCACCTATATAGCTGTGTGTCATCAGAGCCCCTATATAACTGTGTGTCATCACAGCAACTATAAAAGTGTGTCATCAGAGCCCCTATATAACTGTGTGTCATCAGAGCCCCTGTATAACTGTGTGTCATCAGAGCCCCTGTATAACTGTGTGACATCACAGCAACTATATAAGTGTGTCATCAGAGCCCCTATATAACTGTGTGTCATCACAGCAACTATATAAGTGTGTCATCAGAGCCCCTATATAACTGTGTGTCATCAGAGCCTCTATATAACTGTGTGTCATCAGAGCCCCTGTATAACTGTGTGTCATCAGAGCACCTACATAACTGCTTCATCAGAGCCCATATAAAACTGTGTGTCATCAGAGCCCTTATATAACTGTGTGTCATCAAAGCACCTATAAAACTGTGTCATCAGAGCTCCTATATAACTGTGTGTCATCAGAGCACCTATATAACTGTGTGTCATCAGAGCCCTTAAATAAATGTGTGTCATCAGAGCCCTTAAATAACTGTGTGTCATCAGAGCCCCTGTATAACTGTGTGTCATCAGAGCACCTATATAACTGTGTGTCATCAGAACACCTATATAACTGTGTGTCATCAGAGCTTCTATATTACTGTGTCATTAGAGCCCTTATATAACTGTGTGTCATCAGAGCACCTATATAAGTGTGTGTCATCAGAGCCCCTATATAAATGTGTATCATCAGAGCCCCTATTTTACTGTGTCATTAGAGCCCTTATATAACTGTGTGTCATTAGAGCACCTATATAACTGTGTGTCATCAGAGCCCCTATATAACTGTGTCATCAGAGCACCTATATAACTGTGTGTCATCAGAGCCCTTATATAACTGTGTGTCATCAGAGCCCTTATATAACTGTGTCATCAGAGCCTCTATATAACTGTGTGTCATCAGAGCCCCTATATAACTGTGTATCATCAGAGCACCTAAATAAGTGTGTCATCAGAGCCCTTTTATAACTGTGTGTCATCAGAGCACCTAAATAAGTGTGTGTCATCAGAGCACCTAAATAAGTGTGTGTCATCAGGGCAACTATATAACTGTGTGTCATCAGAGCACCTAAATAAGTGTGTGTCATCAGGGCCCTTATATAACTGTGTGTCATCAGAGCACCTAAATAAGTGTGTGTCATCAGGGCCCCTATATAACTGTGTGTCATCAGAGCTCCTATTTAACTGCATCATCAGAGCCCCTATATAATTGTGTGTCATCAGAGCTCCTATTTAACTGCATCATCAGAGCCCCTATATAACTGTGTGTCATCAGAGCCCTTATATAACTGTGTGTCATCAGAACCCCTATATAACTGTGTGTCATCAGAGCCCCTATATAGCTGTGTGTTATCAGAGCCCTTATATAACTGTGTGTCATCAGAGCCCTTATATAACTGTGTGTCATCAGAGCCCCTATTTAACTGTGTGTCATCAGAGCCCTTATATAACTGTGTGTCATCAGAGCCCCTATATAACTGTGTGTCATCAGAGCCCTTATATAACTGTGTGTCATCAGAGCCCTTATATAACTGTGTGTCATCAGAGCCCCTATATAATTGTGTCATCAGAGCCCCTATATAACTGTGTGTCATCAGAGCCCCTATATAACTGTGTGTCATCAGAGCCCTTTTATAACTGTGTGTCATCAGAGCCCTTATATAACTGTGTGTCATCAGAGCAGCTATATAACTGTGTCATCAGAGCCCCTATTTAACTGTGTGTCATCAGAGCCCTTTTATAACTGTGTGTCATCAGAGCCCCTATATAACTGTGTGTCATCAGAGCCCCTATATAACTGTGTGTCATCAGAGCCCCTATCTGTGCTATGAGCAGAGGCCTGCATCTAAAGTCTAAGGACAAACCTGAAGGCTCAGGGCCGGGCTGTTCTGTTTAAAGATGATGTCCCAGACATCCAAGGTGCCATCCATCTTTGTGATGTAGAAAACACTAGGCCTTAAAGGACTCCAACATCCGTCTGTCAAGTAAGATGAGTATTGTCTGTGAATATCAATACTCAACATGAACATGAGCATTAGCATGACAGAAGTGATGTTAACATCAACTGTCAACATGACAGTAATATTTGTGAATATCAACAGCATGACAGTACAGTCTGTGAAAATCAAATGCCAAAATGACAGTACTGTCAGTGTACATCAACCGTCTTCCCCTTTTTCAGCAGCTTTCAGAATCTATTACAATTACGACATGTGTATGCATCTAGTTTTCTAGCCACCGGAGAGCTGCAGTTACTGCCTCCACCTCCATTCTCATGCTTGATGTTGTGGTTTCATATGCTCGGCTGTCTTGCACTAAAGGTTTTCTATTGGCTTTCGCTACGAACCCCAAGGCATTTCTCTTTTCTCTTATCACTGAACCATCTGTATCGATGATCAGATCATCTGGGTGTTAATTGTCGTGACTCAAGTGTTGGACTTCAACCTCCGTAGCACCCAGTGGCCACTCTCTGCACACCTGGCCCAATGTTATCATAACCCTAGACAGGTCAGACTGTTCTGCTGGTACTCTGACCCATTCCTCTCCTCGCTCAATGTTCTCCAGCATGCATACTTGTCTTATTGTGTTTTCTGCTTGAGCCAACCATGATTTTCCCCTTTTCAGCCTCTGACCCTTTGCCAGCAGCCAAAGCTTCATACAGAGGATGTTCCCTGTCTGCAGCTACTCAGAGGTATTACTTAGCCTGCAGCACCTTTAGCTTATCTGCAATAGTCAGCAATGCAAGGATGTATCGAATGCACACAAACGGGGTGTCTCTTGTACAACCCAGGATCAGCCGCATAGCTTCATTCTGTATGAGCTCCAGTTTCTCAAGCTGACTCTTTGAGACAGTGTGAATCCCCGATCCATAATCAATCACTGAGATGATTAAGTGCTGGTAAAGTGTGAACAGCATTCTCCGCTCCATGTCCATCGCTGCCATAATCTTTAGTGCATTCAGACCTTTTTGAGCCCTTGTTACAACCCTCTCTATTACATGACAGTAATGTATGTGAACATCGTCAGTCACAGCACTGTCTGTGAACATCAGCAGTCAATATGACAGTAATGTCCATGAAGCATTACAATGCTGCCTGTGAACATCAACAGTCAGTATGAAAGTTCTGTCTGTGAACATCAACAGTCAATAGGACAGGGCTGTCTTTGAACATCAACAGTAAACATAACAGTAATGTCTGTGAACATTACCAATCAACATGACAGTGATGTCTGTGAAATTTGGCAGTCAATATGACAGTAAAGTCTGTGAACATTGACAGTCAATATGACAGTAAAGTCTGTGAACATCAAAATTCATTATGACAGTGCTGTCTGTGAACATCAAAAGTCAACATGAACGTAATGTTTGCGAACATCAACATTAAATGTCACAGTACTATCTGTGAACATCAACAGTCAACATGACAGAAATGTCTGTGAAAGTCAACATTCACCCAGACACCAAGTTATATCTGTGAAAGTCAACATTTGATCTATACATCAAGTTCTGCTGGTGAAAGTCAACATTTGATTTATTCATCAAGTTCTGCTGGTGAAAGTCAACATTTGATCTATACATCAAGTTCTGCTGGTGAAAGTCAACATTTGATCTATACATCAAGTTCTGCTGGTGAAAGTCAACATTTGATCTATACATCAAGTTCTGCTGGTGAAAGTCAACATTTGATCTATACATCAAGTTCTGCTTGTGAAAGTCAACATTTGATCTATACATCAAGTTCTGCTTGTGAAAGTCGACACTGGATGTAGCAGCTGGTAGAACTTACTTGGTCCAAATGATAGATGATTCCCTGATGTCCTCCGACCAAATCTGCAAGAGAGATCAGAGTTGTAGTCACTCAACCAGTCTCACCACACACAGAGTTGTAGTCACTCAACCAGTCTCACCACACACAGAGATACTTGCAGAGCTGAACAACACAGACCACATTAGTGCCTCAACATGCTGTCGCCTCCATTTGAACATCTACCTCAGATACAATTTTCCTGAGCATGTATTTGCAAAAAGTATACTGGCTGCCAAGATAAACAAAAAATAGAGGCTGCATAATTATTTATAATTTGTCATGTGCAGTGATCCTGGTCAAGGCATGAGGGACAGTTAGGGCTTCTGGGTTGTGTATACAGGGGTACCACACCTGAGGAGTCTGGAGGTTCTGTGTTGTGTATGCAGGGGTACCACACCTGAGGAGTCTGGAGGTTCTGTGTTGTGTATACAGGGGTACCACACCTGAGGAGTCTGGAGGTTCTGTGTTGTGTATACAGGGGTACCATACCTGAGGAGTCTGGAGGTTCTGTGTTGTGTATACAGGGGTACCACACCTGAGGAGTCTGGAGGTTCTGTGTTGTGTATACAGGGGTACCACACCTGAGGAGTCTGGAGGTTCTGTGTTGTGTATACAGAGATACCACACCTGAGGAGTCTGGAGGTTCTGTGTTGTGTATACAGAGGTACCACACCTGAGGAGTCTGGAGGTTCTGTGTTGTGTATACAGGGGTACCACACCTGAGGAGTCTGGAGGCTCTGTGTTGTGTATACAGAGGTACCACACCTGAGGAGTCTAGAGGTTCTGTGTTGTGTATATGGGGATAACACATCTGGGGGACATCAGCGCCTCAAGGCACTCACGGTAACAGTGACCTTGTCTGTCCTTATACTACCATGCTGAGTGTCTCAAGGCACCCATAGTAACAGTGACTATGTCCGTGAGAACAGATGGGGCTACAGAAGGGCACCAGATGAAGGCCAGATTGCACAGATGAGGACAAAACAACAAGGAGGTGTTGCAATGTCCAACAAAACTACATGGGAAGGTTAACCAGGACAAAAAATAAAGTTGGATGTGTCGACGGAAAGGTGCAAATATGGCAGCCATGCTGTAAACAGGGCATTATGTCACTTGAATTTCTGATGAAGAAGAACAAGAAGGAGTGGTAGTCTTCTCTAGCTCTGATACATCTAGACCTATACCGGTGTACAACATCAGCTGTCCAAAGTATACAAACAGTCCTACACTGAATTACTTGGTAAAACAGTTTCTGTCCCTGTGTTCAGACAACTCATCAACTGGCATACCTAGCTTTCATCACATCAACCTGCCCCAGACAACTCATCAACTGGCATACCTAGCTTTCATCACATCAACCTGCCCCAGACAACTCATCAACTGGCATACCTAGCTTTCATCACATCACATTGAGACAATCTATCATTTACCCTAGCTGTCCAATCATCCACATTGAGACAATCTATCGTTTACCCTAGCTGTCCAAACATCTACACTGAGATAGACTTCACTTACCCTAGCTGTCCAATCATCCACACTGAGACAGACAGTCACCCTAGCCATTCAATTACCCACAGTGAGACAGTCTGTCATTTACCCTAGCTGTCCAAACATCCACACTGAGACAAACTTCATTTACCCTAGCTGCCAAACATCCAAACTGAGACAGACAGTCACACACCATAGTTGTCCAATCAGACACACTAAGACAGACAGTCACACACCCTAGCTGTCCAATCAGCCACACTGAGACAGACAGTCATACACCCTAGCTGTCAAATCAGCCACACTGAGACAGACAGTCACGCACCCTAGCTGTCCAATTACCCATATTGAGACAGAAGGTCACTCATCCTAGCTGTCCAATTAGCCACACTGAGATAGACAGTCACACACCCTAACTGTTTAATCACCCACACTGAGACAGAAGGTCACTCATCCTAGCTGTCCAATTATCCACACTGAGACAGACAGTCACACACCCTAACTGTTTAATCACCCACACTGAGACAGAAGGTCACTCATCCTAGTTGTCCAATCAGCCACACTGAGACAGACTTCACTTACACTAGCTGTCTAATCAGCCACACTAAAACAGACTGTCACTTACCCTAGCTGTCCAATCACCCACACTAAAACAGACTGTCACTTACCCTAGCTGTCCAATCACCCACACTTAAAACAGACTGTCACTTACCCTAGCTGTCCAATCACCCACACTAAAACAGACTGTCACTTACCCTAGCTGTCCAATCACCCACACTAAAACAGACTGTCACTTACCCTAGCTGTCCAATCACCCACACTAAAACAGACTGTCACTTACCCTAGCTGTCCAATCACCCACACTAAAACAGACTGTCACTTACCCTTGCTGTCCAATCACCCACACTAAAACAGACTGTCACTTACCCTAGCTGTCCAATCACCCACACTAAAACAGACTGTCACTTACCCTAGCTGTCCAATCACCCACACTAAAACAGACTGTCACTTACCCTAGCTGTCCAATCACCCACACTAAAACAGACTGTCACTTACCCTAGCTGTCCAATCACCCACACTGAGAAAGTTTTTTCGTAAAGTGTGGGTTTCTCTGTATGGAGTACACTGGACCTGTGTGGCCTGTAAAAATGGCTGCTATCTTGTCTGTCAGAGTCTTGGCTTTGCGGTTGCAGGAGATGATGCTGCCTTGCTCAGTCCCTGCCATGAACTTGGTCGGCTGCCAGCAACAAGAATATCAAACACAGGGCAATCCACAGACCTGTACTGTGTCATGGTGTGTGTGTGACTGTATGCATGCATACTGTGTGTGAGTGTGCATACGTGTGTGTGTGACTGTATGCATGCATACTGTGTGAGAGTGTGCATACATGTGTGTGTGACATGCATGCATGCATTCTGTGTGTGAGTGTGCAAACGTGTGTGTGTGTGCGTACAGTGTCATTTATTATCTGTATAGTGTGTCTGTATAGAATCATATATATTGTGCCCATACAGTTCCATAAATTGTGTGAGTAAAGTGGCATTCATTGTGTATTAAGAAAATAGGAGACTAAACAGATTCTACGAAGACCTGCTGGTTGTCATCAAATCAGTAACTAAAGACGATAAGTTTATCATCCTCAATGATTTCAATGCTAGAGTGGGTACAGACTTTAACACGCAGGATGGTATCTTTGGAAGACAATTGTCATAGCAATGGGCAAGTGCTTCTCTAGACCTGTGAGGAACATGAACTAATTATTACAAACACTTTATGTGGCCTCCCTATCTGCAACAGAACCTCCTGGAGGCACCCCCATTTACATCTTGCTGATTATGTCATAGTGAAAAGGGTGCCTGAGAAAAGCAGCCAACCTAACAATCCAAGATCGAGTGAATAATGAAACTATCAGACAAATTGTCGGAACAACACCTTGTACTAAATTCATCGAGAAACAGCAGATCAAGTGGTTTGGCCATCTTGTTAGAATGCCGCAAGATCAAATACCATCACAAGCACATCTCAGAAGATCAGCTACAAGAGCATGAGGATGGCCGCGGAAATCACGGATCAACAACATTAAAGACACTCTACGCCTTCACGGCATGATAATAGCCAGTGGCAGCCAACGTGCACTGGATCGCAAATTATTCCTCCCCACGCCGCTTAACGGCAGAAGTTGTCATTGATGATGATGATGATGATGAAAAGAGGGCCAGAGACAGGATGTACGGATAAGTCTATATGTGCAGTGCTGAATGTTGGACTGACCATTTGTCTCGTCGCTTCGAAAATAAACCTCCACATTCAATCATCAAGACAATCGCAGGGAAGCAAGACTTACAAAAAGCTCCAACATCTCCAGACTGAGAAATGAATCCACGAGAGATTTTTTTTTATCCACACTAGAAGATCGTCTACAATCTATCTCCTTATATGGCCCAAATATGGAGGAAATATGGACCACCCTGAGAGATCTGATCTACAGCACAGCTTTGGAGACACTAGGACCTGTCAGGAAGAAAGACCAGGATTGGTTAGACGAGAACTCACAAGATATTCAGCATCAACTAATGGAGAAACACCGACTCTATAAAGCATTGTAAAATGATCCAAATTAAATATCAAAGAAGTACTCCTTTAGTAATATTAGAAGAACTGTTCAAGTCAAACTTCACCAGATGCGAGACTTGTAGCTAAGCGATAAAGCTGATGAGATTTAGCATTTTTGTAGGCAGCCATGATATGAAAAATGTATAGGATGCTTTAAAAAACTGTATATGGACAAGCCACTATCATCTTGTCCCCTTCTCAGTAAAGATGGAAATACAAGACTCATTGAAAATGATTCAATCCTCAAACATTGGGCTGCACATGTCAGTAACATCCTGAACCTACAGTTATTCATAAATGAAGAATCTTTAAGCAATATGCCCCAGGTCCCTATGAATGGAGCTCTAGACGAAATACACTCAGTTTCTGGAGACTTTCCAAAACCAAAGGTCATTGATCAGGCATATCTCAAAATATGGTATAAGAAACACCACTGCCTATTCTTGAGGGCGATCCCCATAGAATCGTGGTTAGGTTCAGAAGATGTTATTAGGGTAATGTCCGCACTGAGAAAATTACACCTCAACATTTCCAACTGTATTGTCACACTCAACAGGCAGCAGAGAAGAGAATCTGTTGCTGTTAATGCAGAGGTCAACGCTCTCATCTGTGAAAATTCAGACGAAGCAGATGCAATAATCTATACAGACGGATCCGTTATACGCCAAAGAAGAAGCGCATGGGCATTTACAGCACGCTCAGCGCGGGCAGAAACGTCAAAGAAGCCAACGGCGCCTTCTCCATGACAACCAGCAGCATGACGATGGAGGTGATGGCAGTGACACAAGCGCTTGCCTGGCTTGAAACACAAAAATACACCCGCGTGTGTATACTCAGTGATTCAATGAGTATGATCCGGAGGGTTCAGGCAGGTTCAGTGCGAAGACAATGGCTTGAATCATTACAGAAGTCCACTGTTCGTGGAGTCACCTTTATTTTTGTTCCGGGACACGCAGGCGTCGATGGAAATGAAAGAGCTGACAGGTTGGCTGGATCCGCTATCACTACCGACGGTCAGCCTATGGATCATGCTGATATTATCAATGCCCTCAGAGAAATGGAAATGAATAGAGGACTTTGGTGGCAGTGAATCACTCGCCAGAATGGCAGACTTGGGAATTAAGATCGGCACAGCAAAAAACGAGACGCACACCAGCTACGCCAGAAGACTTGTTAATCAACATAGAACTGGTACTATTAGCCATCGGACGTTGGGGTTCATACTGAGGGGAGGATCTGAGCACCTATGGACATGTCCGGAGTGCAATGAGGATAACCCAACTAACTAACTAACTAAGGCTCCTATTCTTGATGCGATCCCCATAGAAGTATTCAAAAGGGGTAATGTCCGCACTGAGAAATTACACCAAATATTCCAACTTATATGGCAGCAAGAAATACATTTCACAAGACTTCAATGATGCAACAATCATACATTTGTTTTAACGTAAAGGAAACCGCCAGGTGTGTGACAATCATCGTGGAATCTCTCTTCTATCTGCTGCTAGTAAAATCCTCCCTAGAATTCTCCTAAACCGTCTGGATCAAAACCTCCTGCCTGAGAGCTAGAGTGGCGAGGGACCACTGAGATGATTTTTGCTGCTCGCCAGCTCCAGGAAAAGTGTCCAGAACAAAACTGTGGCCTTTATTCTATTCTTATAGACCTCAGGAAGGCCTTTGATACAGTCAGTAGAGGAGGACTGTGGACAATCATGGCTACATTTGGCTGTCCTCAGATGTTTATCAGCACTGTACAGCAGTTTCATGAAGGTATTCAGGTCAGTGCCGGAGAAGGGAAAACTGTCGGACCCTTTCCCTGTCACAAATGGTGTAAGGCTGGTATGTGTGCTTGGGGCAACATTGTTCAGTATAAAATTTGCTGCAATTCTTGTCAATGTCTTTGATGATGACAATCCAGGTATTGCTTTAAATTACTGTACAGATGGCAACTGTTTCACTTGAGGAGGCTTCGGGCTAAGACAAAAACCAAAACAGCTACAATTAGGGAGCTTTTATTTGCTGACGATTGCGCTATAAATTCCAGCTCTGAGACCAGTATGCAGCACATTATCAATAGATTTTCTGAAGCCTGTACCAACTTCAGGCTAACTATCAAAACTGATAAAACTGTTGTTATCTATCAACCGGCTCCTAAGAAAACCAAATTACTGTGATCCCACTTTCAAAAGTTAAATGTAGTAGATAGATTCACTTATCTTGGCAGTACCCTATCTCAGAGAGTCGACGAAGAGATCAACGCTAAAATCTCAAAGGCCAGCAGAAGTTTCGGCAGACTTTAAACAAGCGTCTGGAACAGAAGTGGTATCTCCCTGTTGACCAAGCTAAAGGTTTACTGAGCTACAATTCTTCCAGTACTGCTCTATGCTTGCGAGAAATAGACTATCCGCTATCACTACCGACGGTCAGCCTATGGATCATGCTGATATTATTAATGCCCTCAGAGAAATGGGAAGGATAGAGGACTTTGGGGGCAGTGAATCCACATCACTCGCCAGAATGGCAGTCTTGGGAATTAACATCGGCATAGCAAAAAACGAGACGCACACCAGAAGACTTGTTAATCAACATAGAACTAGTACTATTAGCCATCGGACGTTGGGGTTCATACTGAGGGCAGGATCTGAGCACCTATGGACATGTCCGGAGTGCAATGATGATAACCCAACTAACTAACTAACTAACTAAGACTGTGTATCAGCACCATGCTAAACAGTTGAATCAGTTTCTAAAAAATTGTCTAAGAAAGCTGCTCACAATGAAATGGCAAGATAGGATCCAAATACTCTAGTTCTTGATAGGGCAAACCTGCCTAGCATCCACACAAGACTATCACCTCCCAAAAAGAGTATTTTATGGGCAGCTTCAGCAAGGTAGGACAGAAAAAGCGCTATAAGGACACTCAACGCTGTCAATTCTTTCGGCATCAACACAGCAACATGGGAGGCAGCTGCACAAGATCATTCTGGATGGCGTACATCCTTCAGCATCAGCCTGCAAGACAGCGAAGGTTGCACATGCAAAGAAACTGAGGCAGACTAGAAAGAACTGTATCATGAATCCCACATTTACTGAGAGCAGAGACTGCTTTTGCTTCTGTTCAAGGGACTTGTACTTTCTACCATCAAATATGCTCTTGCCATCCTCACTGTCAGCCGTACTAAGACTGAAAGACTTGAGAAGGTGCAAAATGAAGCAATGCGCATTATTCTGGGGTGCACTGGAGACACCTCTTGTGTAGCAATGAGGTACCTTCTTGACTTCCCTACCATGAACTACAGGATCAAGATCTGGAGGGCTCGTGTATACCTCAAGATAAGCTTAAATCTGAAGCACCCTTTACACCACATGCTCTTCAAGAAAAAGGGCAATAGGCTTAAAAGAGGCAAATCATGGCAGGTTTGCAGCCTTACAGACATCCATTCACGTGAGGAATGGATACCAGCATCTCAAGCTCCCAATCTTACATTCTCCTGTGTCATGATCCTTGATAGGAGTTGTCGGGAGAAGAATCCAGCTGCTGTCAATGCCTAGGTATGCACGCTTATCATTGACAAGTCAGATGAGACAGATGTGGTGATCTTCACAGACGGGTCCGTTATACAAGGACATAAGAGTGCATGGGCATTTACAGCTCGTTCTTCAGGCAGAAGAGTTCAAGAAGCCAGTGGTGCCTTTTCCATGACCACCAGCAGCATGACGATGGAGGTGATGGCGGTGACACAGGCTTTCGTGTGGCTAGAATCATAGGACTATTCCCGTGTGTGTGCTGGGTGATTCTTTAAGCATGATCCGGCGGGTCGAGGCAGGCTGGTTACACAGTGGTTTGAGTCATTGCAAAACTCTCCTTTGTGTGCAGTTATCTTCATATTCATCCCAGGGCATGCAGGCGTGGTTGGTAATGAAACAGCTGAGAGATTGGCAGGTGCTGCATTATTTGAAGATGGCCGGCCCATGGAACACGCATAAATTATCATTGCCCTTAGAGAGATAGGACTTAAGCACTTGGTGTGGTGAAGCTGGTGCACTGGCCAACCCAACGAAGGCAGCAGTGACATGGTTCTCTTTGAATAACCATATTGTGAAAACTTCAACACCAGTTGTTAGTCTGTGTTCTGAGGTTGTGGAAAGAATGAATGTAATAAAATACCTAGGGATACATTTTCATCAAAGCCTAGCTTATACTGAGCACATAAGTCATATTATAATGAAAGCCAAGCGGGATCTGGCTGCGATGAGAGTGATGGCGGCGGTAAACTGTGAGCAGTGTCATCTATGTCTTCTAAACAAGGGTCTGGTCCTTTCTGTTTTTGAATACGCGATGGTGATCCTGACTCTCAGCCTTAAGCAGATGGAAGGGATGGAAAGTATAGAATGTCGGAAACAAACAATCAATGACTGACATCTGACATGTCAACAACAAACAATCAATGACTGACATCTGACATGTCGATAACAATCAATGACTGACATCTGACATGTCAATAAAATACAATCAATGACTGACATCTGTCATGTCAACAACAATCAATCAATGACTGACATCTGACATGTCAATGACTGACATCTGACATGTCAACAACAAACAATCAATGATTGACATCTGACATGTCAACAACAAACAATCAATGACTGACATCTGACATGTCAATAACAATCAATGGCTGACATCTGACATGTCAATAAAAACCAATCAATGACTGACATCTGACATGTCGACAAAAAACAATCAATGACTGACATCTGACATGTCGACAACATACAATCAATGACTGACATCTGTCATGTCGACAACATACAATCAATGACTGACATCTGTCATGTCGACAACAGTCAGTGACTGTTACAGAGAAAGCTCACCAGAGTTGGTTCATATTCTAAACAATATGCTCCCTGTGCATTGTGGGACTCCTGTTTCTTGTCCAGGTACATGCGGTCTGTGGGCTCGCCCATCTTACGGATGTCCCACCACAGCACCTGGCCATCTGTTGATGTGGAGAAACACTCGGTGCCGGTTTTGGACTGGATCCATAAAGCCTTGTAGGCAGGCTCTCTGTGTGACTGCTCCACCGGGCTCAGCTCCATGGGCTGGCAACTCTTCCTGGTATCCCAGAAAGCTGCAAGTTTCAAATATTGGGGTATTGAATGCTGGGAACGATTTCATCCATATAAGATAGACCAGCTAATGTTTCCTGAGGGAGATAGATCCCCATAGTCTCAATACCCAATATCTACTGAGTACACAGTTGAACACTGACAATACACACCATTTCATAATTACAATACCCAATACCTACTGATACAGACTGGAAGACGTATTCCCCCTCCCCTAACTGCAGTTTCAATACCAGGAAGATGCTTTCTTAAAAAGTAAACACAAAATCTGCTTATAAAAATAGTGATGACCACAGAGTCAGGGGAAGATGACAACAAACTCTGGAGAAGATGCAAACTGACTCTGGGGAAGATGACAGCAGGTTCAGGGGAAGATGACAATAAATTCAGTGAGAACTGAAAACAGATTTAGTGGGAACTGACAACCTATTCAGGGGAAGACGACAACATTCAGGGGGAGATGACAACAGATTCAGGGGAAGATGATGACGGATTCAGGGAAAGATTACAGAAGATACTGGGGAAGGTGAAAACATTCAGGGGAAGATGACAAATAATTTAGAGGAAGACAACAGATTTAGGGGAAGATGATAACAGATTCAGGGGAAGATGACAACAAACTCTGGAGAAGATGAAAACTGACTGTGGGGAAGATGACAATAGATTCAGTGATAACTGACAACAGATTCAGGGAAAGATGACAAAAGATTCATGGGGAAGATGACAACAGATTCAGGGGAAGATGACAACAGGTTCAGGGAAAGATGACAACAGATTCAGGGGAAGGTGACAATGCATTCAGAAGAAGATGACAAGAGATTCAGGGGAAAATGACAACAGATTCAGGGAAAGATTACTGAAGATTCAGGGGAAGATGATAACAGATTCAGGGAATGATGACAAGAGATTCAAGGTAAGATTGTGGCAGATTAAGGGTTAGATGACAATAGATTTAGTGGAATTCGATAACAGATTCTGGGGAAGATGACAACAGATTAAGGGGAATACAACAGGTTCTGGTGAAGATTGTGGCAGACTGAAGGAAAGATGACAACAGATTCAGGGGATATGAATACAGACTCTGGGGAAGATGAGGGCAGATCCAGGGGAAGATAAAAACAGATTTAGGGGAAAATGACAAAAGATTAAAGGGAAGATGACAACAGATTCAGGGAAAAATGAAGGCAGATTCTGGTAAAGATGATGGCAGCATCTGGGGGAATCAGTGGAAGATGACAACAGATTCTGGGAAAGGTGACAAAAGATTCAGAGGAAGATGACAAAAGATTCAGGGAAATATGACAACAGATTCAGGAGAAGACGAGGGCAGATTCAGGTAAAGATGATGGCAAAATCAGGGGGAATCAGGTTTTAGTTCCACCTTTGCCATGTTTTTATTGAGGCAACTGAGCAATGACAACTCTGTGAGGGAAACAGAGACATGAGGTATACAGTGTCTTCTAACAGTGGACAGTGTGGTATTTGTTCAGTTGACAGAGCAACCACTCTTCCTCACCTATTTGCCCATTGTAGCATCCTCCGATCAAGACATGGGAGTCCTTGGGGTTGTACTCCAGGCACACCAGCGGAGACACAGGCTTGATGACCATTTCTGGTTTGTTGGGATTTTCTGGGGGTAGAGAAATATTATAATATCTAGACATAAAACTAACCAAGACGGAAACAACTTAGATGTTCCTGGTATTGTGGACTTCCCACAGACACACACAATAAAGGCTTCTGCATATACACAGTTGTGTGCCTAGAATCTAGGAGACCCCTGACTAAAAATGTGTCAACCCTGACTAGACATGTATCAATTACAAGTAGACATGTATCAACCCTTACTATACATGTATCAACCCTGACTACACAGTTATCAACCCTGACTAGACATGATAAACTCTGACTGGAAAAGTGGCAACTTTAACTAGACATGTATCAACCATGACTAGAAAAGTGGCAACCCTGACTAGACATGTATTGAACTCTGACTAGACATGTATCCATCCTAACTAGACATGTGACAACCCTGACTAGACATTGTCAACCCTGACTAGAAAAGTGGCAAACCTGACTAGATGACATGTGGCAACTACAACCAGACATGTGACAACCCTGACGAAACATGTATAAACCCTGACTAGAAAAGTGGCAAACCTGACTAGACATGTGACAACCCTGACTGGCCATGTGACAACTGTAACTAGATATGCAACAACCCTGACTAGATATATGACCAGACATGTGACAACCCAGACTAGATATTACAACCCTGACTAGACATTTAACTAGACATGTGACAACCCTGACATGATAGCAACAAACCTGACAAGATATGTGACTAGACATGTGACAACCCTTACTAGATAAATGACAACCCTGACTAGATATGTGACTAGACATGTGACAATCCTGACTAGATATGTGACAACCCTGACCAAATATGTGACTTAACATAAGACAACCCTGACTAGATATGTGACTACCCTTACTAGATAAATGACAACCCTGACTAGATATGTGACTAGACATGTGACAATCCTGACTAGACATGTGACAACCCTGACTAGATAAGTGACAATCCTGACTAGATATGTGACTAGACATGTGACAACCCTGACTAGATATGTGACAACCCTGACCAGACATGTGACTTAACATAAGACAACCCTGACTAGACATGCGACTACCCTGATTAGACATGAGGCAACCCAGACGTAAATATTTAGCTAGTCATGCGACAACTCTGACTAGATATGTGACCATACTAGATATGTGACAAATACTAGATATGTGACAATCCTGACTAGACATGTGTCAACCTTGACTAGATTGGTGACAATTCTGACCAGACATGTGACAAACCTGAATCCTCTAACCAGCTAGGCTGGGAGATATATCATTTAGAACATTTAAAGGTTTGATTCTATCTGTATACTATCTCCTTCTGAGGTCTGGTCTTTTTTTTTTCCATCAATATTAGCAATGACAGAGACAGTAGTTGTAGGTTAAAGTGGCTTCTTTTTATCTGTGTATTATATACTTAGTATTATAATTGTTCTAAAATGTAGGCATATTTATAGCACAGTGTTATCAACTCTTTAAGGCCCAAGCAGCAGTGTGAGCGTTGTTTGAGAAGTTCCGTTTTGCCCAAACAACGGTGTCATTGTCGATCGTGTGTCTCGTACATTTTTCAGGGAAAGTCACTCTGCCGAAATCCTTTTAGTTTCATTTCCTAGCCTAAGAAACATGTGCATAATGTGATAGAAAAAGCAGTGAAATTTTTTTCAAAGGTGCATTTTCTAAGTTCGTTTTCGAGTGCCATGAATACCAATGTTCCAAAAACAAGTACAGGTCCCAGAATGCATCTTTCTGTAGCCAAAGCTCTAAAATTGTTTCAGTCAGATGTTTTTAATTCTGATAATGATAATGAACATTTAGATTTTTTCGGAAAGTGATTCAGACGGGGCATTTTTACCAGCGAAGCTGAGCGATCAGCTGATCTGAATCTAGTGATTCTGATGAGTTTACTACACAATGTCCCATTGCTACCATATTTATGGTGTAAGAGAAGGAAAGTGCTCTAAACAAAGAGATTGTACTTTACTATGGCTAAGCTACATTAAAATCATCGCAGTTACAGTCTGTATATAACTGTACAAAGTAAATAGTAAATAGCGTGTGTATAATGGCTCATTTTTCTGCCATTTTTTCTCTGAAATTCTCTGAAAACTAAGAGCTCCTGAGTGCTAAACTAACACAGAAACTTATTATAACTTTGGAATTTGTTCTGAAATTGAACAAACTTTGAAGTTTTGTTCTAAAATTTTGATATTCACTACTCGTGTGGCTGCAAAATCATGTTAAATGAAGAATTTGTTTGTAAAATGTTGTTGTGAAAATAGCACCTGCTGAATTCTTCTTTCCTACTAACAATAAAAAATTAAACAAATACTTATCATCAGATTCAAAATGTACATTCATTTCTCTAAAAACTGTATATACTTTTATTAGGATTAGAAGTATATTACATTCTCATTTGCCTTTCTTGTACACCCACCCGTCTGCCATTTTTGTGAAAGGAAATTAATGTGGGCCAAGTCTGTGAAAATTCATGGGCCTGAAAGAGTTAAGATGTTGTTGATGATGTCTATTATTATTATTATCTGCTAAAACTACATATGCATGAATAATGTTTGCAATGAGTGAGGACAGAAGGGCAGAATGTGAGACGGGCCTGTGTTCCCAATTCTTAACCCTTTGGAAATAAAATTTGGTCAATTGTAATAAAGTTTGTTTGTGTAGCCAGCAGCGGCATCTATTCTTCAGGCCAGTATGACTTTGGACTCCAGCCAATCCCACCAAAAGGGCACTAAATAATGTGAATAATTGTTCAAGGAAACAGTGGCATTTCAAGGCTGGGAGGAAGACAACAGGTCAAATCAAGCCAAGATACCATGTCCTCAAATGTGTGAGGACCTAACATCTATTCCATGACAATGTATGATCAGGGGGCCGCCCTATACTGTTGTCTTAGAAGGGGACAAACGATCACTGCTTACCAACATCCCAGATATAGGAGTCCATGCTGGTCCCTGGCGGAGAACTCTGGAAGCGCAGATTACAATAGGCTACAGCCAGTTTCCTGGGACCATCCGGGTACCAGGATATGTAGGTGGCTGTACGCTTGACTTCACTGGGATCTCTGAAGAATGGAAAGTCCATCACTGCCAGCAAAATTTGACTTTAATCAAAATGGTGCTTATATTTCTTTTCTGTAGACCTTCAAAACACAACTTTAATCAAATGGTAATTCTGCTTCTCTATACATCTTCAGACCTAAAGTTCAATCAAACTGGTAAATCTATTTCTTTGCTGCACACATTCTGAACTCAGCTTCAATCAAAATGGT